AAGTCACTTTGAACAATAAGGAAAAAAACATTCTTGTGATTAAGGCGTATTAGCATCTTTAAGACTTGGCTCCTATTCCCAACTGTGCCACAACCTTCTTGTGTGCAGAAGTCATCTGCTCTCCTCGCTGGGCTCCTCACCTTGAATACGCAAAGCCCAATCCCCACCTCAGCAGAGAGCTGTGAGCTGCTGCCTGCAGTACGGCCGGGGAAGGGCTTTGCCTCAGTGATTGCCACGGGTGCTGCAGGACGGAGATACCTTGCTTGGCTTTTAAGACCTTTTTTTTTTTTTCCTTCTTTGGCATCTGCCATTTTTTTTGTCTGTGGAAGGTGAAGGCAGAGGATGCCAAGTGCCTTGTCACACCCAGCCCTGCTCAGCAGAGGTAGGTGCTGGCCGGTCCCCCCCCCAGCGGCTGGTCCAGCAAGGTGGGGACAAGGGCAGGCTTGCTGTGGGGACACGGTCCAAGCCAGGGAGCGAGGCAGAGCCACCACCAGCATTTTGGTGACAGGACACCTCTCCGGGTCCTGCCTGCTGCAGCAAGGCAGGAGGCAGGTTGCTGCTGGTGGTCACTGCCCTCACCACACTCAGCTGGGGCAGCAGCCACCTGAGGGGAATCAGCCCCAAACCAGCATGCAAAAGCAAAGCATTTCTTTACTCATGCAAGACTTTAATGAACATTTTAATTTGATGTTCAAATGATTCATGGGATGAACATTTTTCCCAGATAAGCAAATAGCCAAGACAGACCTAGTATTATCCTATCGTAGTCGCCATCGATCCAAATTTGGAGACTAAAAAATTACAGCCCTAAGCCAGAGACAAATTAAAACATTTCTAGTGAAAAAGCCAGTAATATTTCCAAGTCAAACTCCTGCCAAGGTCGCTGCATTACAAGCAAAGTGGTTGTGGGCGCCTTGAGGACCCTTCTCAGCCTCCCGGCCAGAGCCATCAGCTCCATCTCATTTCAGCACAAACCTTCTGTCTCTGCTTGCTCTCACAACATTTTTCACATTACTCTCTGCTTTCTTTCTTTTAACCTAAATGATAACTTTGAAGGGAGGTTTATGTAGAACAACATGCATTTTTTTTCACAGTATTTTCAGCTGGAAGACATATTTGAAAGGAAAATTCTGATTTACAATCATTTTAACTGCTTTCATTTAAAAAGAAAAGCAACTAGTTCTCAGCTGCAGAAAAAAAAAAGTAATCTTTTTTTTCTGCAAAATATTTCCCAAAGAGTTTTCTCTAAAGGAATTTTGATGGAGAAAACCACATTTCCCATTCAGCTCTTTTCTTCTGGTGACTTGACTGACTTCCCCACTACAGGCTGTGGCAAAGTAAAATCAAATCATGCAGAGGGATGAAGCGTTCACCTCACCAGAACTAAAAAAAATAAAGCATACGCTGCTTTCCTGGTGAGCAGCTCAGATGCCGGGTCATTGGTGGTGCTAGGCAGGATGGCAGCCATGAAAACACTGCAGGAGCACGTCTCTCTCATTTACTCAGGTGGCTGCAAATGCTCTGGGGACACCACCGCCACATGTTGCACCATCTCTTGTTCCTGTCGAGTGACTTCTAGACTACCAGCCCAGGTACCGTATTTCCAACTCTTGGCACACCATTTCAACATGCCCCACATCTACCTTTCCAGAGGTCGGTCACTTAAGGAGAAGACACATCTCAAAGGCTTCGTGGACACTGCAGCAGCAGGTGCATGTATTTGTTCCTAGCCAGCCGGCTGCTCTGTTCATTATTTCCACAATGCAAAGAGCCTGCCCACACCACACACTTCATTTGTTTCTAACGTTGCTGGGTTGCAAAGCAGAAGTTTATAGTGAAGTTGGCCAAAGGCAGCCACGCATCCCTGTACCTCTGGCTGACGCCCCACCGCAGTGTCTCCTCCTGGGGTGGGTTCCTCTCTCCTTTCCCACTGCTTTGGTCTCCTCTGATGCAACTCCCAATGCTTCTTTTTATAGTTCCTAGTTTTTATCAACATAAGTTGGGAGAGTGTATCAAGGCACTAGCACACCACATAGATTAATATGGTATTTAAATAATTGTATTTGTCTTCTGTTACCTACAGGCATGTGCTCAGACAAGAGCTTGTTCCTGTGGCTTTGCAAATATTTAGTAAATCCACCGCTCCCCTCTTTTTTTCCACAACTCCCCAAATTACACTTGTGTTTCTTATTCCCCTTGAGGGTCCACCCCAGCTTTCATTACTCTAGAAACTCAACTTTGCATATAATTTGATTGTCCCGATCTCTGAAAGTCATTCTTCACCTAGACAGAGTCATCTTCTACAGCTGTCTCCCTCTTGGAGACAACAGCAGACACTGTTCGAGTTAATGAAGACACAGTTATTAAAAACCCCAGATGGGCACAGGTCTAGCTACTCACCCCAGCAATATCCCACTCGACAACGCTGTCCAAAAGCGAAGCCAAGGCTTATCTTCTCGTGGCTTCGCCCTTTTGTAGGAAGGGCCTGATCCCTCCCCGGTGCTCAAGATGGGAAGAACTGGAGCTCCCTGCGCAGTCAGTGCCACCTGCTTTTATTTCAGCAGAGCTATTTCGCCAGCAAAGGATTACTAGAGTTTTCTCCAGCTTGGTTGGGAATAAATATGCTTCACCTATGACTATAGATTTTGGTCACGAGGGTGAAGAAACCCTTCAGGGCACAGCAGCTCCTCCTCCTGATACAGCTGTTCCTGTCACTGGATTCTTGCTCAACCCTAATTGAAATCAGTGCAAGTCTTTGATCAAAGAGGTGAGTGCCATTAATAAGTGAGAGATTAAACAAAAGTCCTAATTGAGGGAACCGGCAACCGCTCAGCTCCAGTTTGCCAGATCCAGTGCTCCATCATGGGACTGGAGTGAAAATACGCTGGCAGCACCTGTTTGGGCTCCTCAGGGCTGGGGTGCAGGAAGCAGCTACAGCCTCTGCACTGGAGGTTGTGGTGAGGTGTGCTCCCAGGGCATTTCAGCAACGTTAAAAATACAACTCTCCTGGCAGAGTTAACTCTTCCTGCTCATGTGATGCCCGTGAAACCAGCATGGTGAAGCCCAGTGAGTGATCTTGCAGACAGTGGAGGTGGCATTTATTTGTAAAATCTCTACAGAAACTTATTTTACCTGTTCCCGCTCCCACGCTCACAAAGACATGCATGCCCCAGACATCTGCCCAGGGCCACCCATGCATGACATGGAGGATGAGGGCCTCCAGCAGCCACATCCTCCCTGGGTCTCCTGAGTGCCTCTTGGCCAACGGTGACAAATTAATCTTTGACTAAATCTTTCGTGCCCATACAAGCTGTTGCTGTTACCTTTCTAGTGCATCAACAACAGAAAAAAAAGGATTGGCAGGTGCCCTGTGTTGTGCTGGCAATCACCCTACTGCCATCGCGGTGGGGTGAGGGTGGGCACAGGTACAAAACCTCATGGTGCAGGAACCTCTGCAACACAACAGCGATGGTAGAGGGAGCTTGTTTGTGTTTATGCCTACTTATTTTCTGCTGCATCTCTGAATGTCCGTTAGCGATCAACCACAGCAGCCCTACAGCACAGTTCCTGTGCTGCAATTATCACCAGGTTCGTGATTTCAATGCCACTCTCATCATCTCATAAACTCATCAACACATAAACTTTCCCTCTACCGTGCTTTGAGTTTAGTTTGTGGCACATAAAGCAAATGAAGGATGGCGGACACTCAAAGAACAAGCCCCAGCTTCCTTCACCACGCATCTTCTGCCCTGAGGTGGGGCTGCTTAAACCTCCTGGTTTTCCAGCTGCCAAGACATACCCCCACATGCTTTGAAGAAGGAAAACGATGATTTGCACGCCCCTTGGTTCAAAGCAGCACCGAGGCCTCGGTGTGGTCCAGGGACCAGGCAGCTCCCAAGTCGTCCACTGCACACTCGGGGGGCACAGCAGACACAAGCAGATCCAGCAAGAGAAGCCAACTCCTGCAGGCTTGCAGAGATGCGCTGGAGCACCACGACGTACCGATTCTAAGAGCTACCTGCAGAGAACGTGCACGGCCACAGGCTCTCTTGCTGGCAGTCAGCGGGTTACACTCACAGAGCAGGACAGGGACGGATAGCTATTTCAACTGCAGGTGGAGGTGCACAAGCATGGGAACAAGGAACATGTCAAAAGCAAAATCTGCAGTTTAAAAACCAACTGAGCTACATCACAGTTGTTTCAGCACATACAGGCCTGAAGTTACCAGCAAAAAAAAAAAAACCAGCAAGCCAGTGAATAAGCTTGCCATTTACAACAGGCGCTGTGAAGAAATTGCCCTTTCCTGCACATTTGTAGAAGTGGTGGTCACTTGGGCATGTGGACCTCTCTTGCCTCTCTGGCTGCTCTGGGGGAACTTGGTCCAGCAGGAGACACGTGGAGTGGTGGTTTCTTTTAAACACAAACGGCCAAGAACGCCTGATGCTTTCCTGTCATCGGATCTCTCTGAAACAGGCCAAGATCTTCAGAGGATGGTCAAAGATATTCTTGATCCCAAAAGTTTGGTTTCGTGTTTAACAAAATGGGGAAAACAATTGGGGAGAGATGGATGATTGGCTCCAGCCCGTCAGAGTTAATTTAAGCACGACCACAGCTGAGGCCTTAAAAATGTAATGTAAAAAGGAAGCTGCAGACACACAATAATCAGCATTAATGTTTCAGTTGTTGGGAACATCATGGGATAAATGATGTTTCCGTTAAAGCAGCGGTAAGACCACAAATGGATATTTTATGAGGAACTTTGAAAATATCTAAAAGAGACAGTACAAGTAGTTTAATAAATAAATCAATAGAGCATCAAGTTGCAAATGAGACAGGAGAATAAACAATAAAAAGAAAAGACATTAAAACATTATTTAATCATAAAAGAAAGTTACAATATTCAGTAGTTTATTAGGGCAAGAATTTTTTAGCACAACAGAAAAAGCACCATCAGATATTTAAAGTAATAGAGTTAAAAGGGGGGGAAAAGTGATCAGTTTTAAAATATTCCATGTATTTCAGTAGTTTTTCATTCTTTCCTGATGAGATATTACAATTGTGTTATCGTTTCAAAGCAAAAAATGCTGAACACCAGAATAAGATCTTCCAACTTGTCTTGCTTATGTCAGTCCTCTCTAATCCATTCTGAAGCGTGTGTATTTAACCTGCAAAGGGATGTGGTGGGACTCCTTTCACCCCTAGCCCTGTTATCTATTAAAAGAGAGAGGGAGGGGGGGGAAAAAAAAAAATTAGCGCAATACTTCACCACTATCAGACACTTGCTCTTCTTTCACAACTAGACATGCTTTAATTTAGAAAAGGACCGTGTCCTCCAAGTCGACATCCTACTATGTGTTGCAGACAGCAGCTCACAGCCAGGACCTTCAAGCTATGCTCTTTCTCTAGAGCTCAGTAATCACAGGCCAGAGTCCACTCCCCAAAAGCCTCTCCTCAGATACTACTAAGCCTTAATTCTGCAGTTCACAATGGAACCTTCCATATGCACACGTATGGAAGAGCAGGGCTTGAAAACAAATCCCAAGGTGACAGATAATTTAGTTAAAACTAACTAGAGAGTAAATAAGAGATGCTTTTATCTGCCATTGATTAAGGCACAGAAGTGTTTACACACTTTTTCCATGATAAATAGAGAAGTCAAACTGTTGGGAAGGGGAGAAGTAGAAAGAGGTGATGGCATAGAAAATTTGCAGTATCATCATTGTTACAAATTTTAAACCCCAAAGTATTTTCAAATCTCTAAATACATTGAACTTTCTCGTCCTGCAACAGGAACCAAAAATATGAACAATAGCTTAACATATATGACTGATGTTCTAATAACCACCCTTTTCCTGCTTCCCACCACTCCTGCTACCTGAAAATGCAGGAGGGAAAAAACGGCCTTCTAAAATGGCAGGGAAAAGCAATATTCACCTTGAAAATCCCACCAGCCTGCGGTTGTCGTGAAAGCCACTCTTTATCCATTCCGTCACTGGCAGATGTCACATACATTTCTGAATAATCCTTTCCTCCGAAACAGCAGGAAGTTGTCTTGTCAACAGGAAGTTTCACAGTCTGGAGTCTTTTTCCTGGAGAAAAACACACATGCCCTTTCCTGTTCATCTACTTATGACAAGAAATTTAAACAAATTCTTGTGAATAACCGGCATGCAGCCAGGTGTTCCACAAAAGCGGGTACCAGAGTAGGGGGAGGTCCCATGCTGAGTTTCGGCATACTGATGGGCACCACGACAGGGAGAAGCCAGGCTTCTGTAAACTGCATTGTTGACGAGGTATCAGTTGACAAATTTCAGTCTCAGTTATCACAAACAAATCCCACCCCCAACCCCAGCCTGTCCTCTAATTAAATGCTAACATCCACAGCACAGACATGTGAATCTGAGCTCATCAGCTAGGGTGCCCATGCAGTCAATGGAAATGGGGTATAATTCCTCCTTAAAATAGGTCACAGGAATCACGCCCTAGACCTGCTGACTTCTCTGCTTTTAACTACAAAGGAAGCCTGGAGCGAGCAGACCTTGTACAGCTCTACTGAGGCGGACCTCGTGCTACACCTCTACTGCCTGCAGTTAAGGAAGGTTAATTCCTAGAAGTCTTTCCTGAAATTTCAATAGCCTTTCTCAAGCTTGCATAAAATAAGGATCATGGGACATGTCTGAAGTTTACAAGAAACTTAGAGCTACCATAAATAATATTACACATTTATTCTACCAACAAATAGCTACCATCCTAATGACAGTAGTAAACAGACTGCCTCCAGCCTTAACCAGAAGGCTGTTGAAACACCTTACAGCAGACTTTTAGAAAATTCCTCCTAATTCTGGGCAATAAGTGCTAATACCCACCATGCCTATTTTATTTAGCAACAACTGAATCTCTCCTTCTGTAAATATGTTAAAGTACATGAATCTCCTTACAAAATATTTTATTTCCCTGGCCTCTCAATTGCACGTGTGAAGGGCTTGGTGCTCTCACAGTAACTGTTTAGCGATGCGTTGAAATAGCAGGACAGTAACTTTGATGTTGGGAACCCTACAAGGAGAAAGAAAAAGTGGAAAGTTTGTCCCACTTAACACCTGAGAGAAGTTTTTGGTCAACTTCAGAGTGGGGCACCATTTCCCAGGAGGTGCTTATGAAAGCAAGCACCTGTCACCCCTTTTATGTGTTCTAAACCCTTTTCCCTCACCCAAAAAACTGTGCCTCGGTCCCTTGCAGCACTGCAATGAACTGACAAAAGCACAGACCAAACGGCTTCACCTGTACCACAACACTAAGCGAGGCACAGGCACAGGCAAAAGCAGGGCCACACTATGAAGCCATTGGTGCAGTCCTGGCACAATTGTTGCCCACCTAGGTGGGTATGCTGCTCCCCAGAGACAGTTTGGGCAGTTTGGGCTCTGTCTTGGTGTGCAAAGTCAGCCTGGCTATGCAAAATGAGCTATGATATGCCAAATAGTGCAGAACTAAAAGACACTTCCTGATCCGTTTTACTCGCTAGTATGGATTAACTAGTACATCCAGAACACAGGACTGAGAGGGAATTGCCTTTGTTTCATGGAAAACCCTGACAAGGGCTGGATACTTTTAAACTGTATTTTAATCCCCAAATAAATAAAAGTAAACAGCAAGCGAGCAGCGGTGCAAGAGCCCCTTGTATGCAACAGCCAGGGAAGTTTCAGCACTCTGGGATTCCTGATGCTGTATAATGAGCTTATTTGGCATACACTTTGACCCACAATGGCCAAAGTAAAAATCAAAATTGAGGTGAAAAAAAAAAAATTCAGTGTAATGGTGTTTAGATTGTCAGAGATTATTTGCATGTCTGGTTACCTGTTACTTCCCTGACAAGAGCAGATTTTTCAAATTATCTAGAAAACTGGGAGAGAAGTCCTGTCTGTTGCCTGGTGTGACAAGGACCAATATGAGTCCCAAGACAATGCTCCTGCCAACTGGCTGTAGCGGCACTTTGTGGTTATCCAGTCAACTGGCAGGGGAAGGATTACATGGCTACATAGTGGCTTATGAAATGCTCCAGAGGCCACCCTAGAAATTGGCTGACATCAAGTCTGGGAGAAAATGAGTGGGAAAGGCATTCAAAGAGAAAAAACATGCACTGTAGGAGGAGAGTCATGAGCTCCAGAGACAAGGGAAGAGACCCTGGCTGTACTTGCAGAGCGGTCTCAGCAGATAACGGCCCAGAACATATTGTTTACAAAGCTCTAAGATGAGCAATGTCTTCCTGGAGATGCAAGAAAATCTGCACCTGGATGTTTTGAAATCCACCTGAAGTAATTCATCTATGTTTGATATCTGTAGAAGAGAGAAACTTAGCAGATCTCTTAGACCCTGTGCAATCAAAAGATATGAAATACATTCATTAGGAAGAACTGTAAAATATTCAAATCCTCATTAAAAGACATGATTGCATAAAACTAGCAGGTCCCTAAACGATCGGAAGGTATGACAAGATTTGTCAATGTACAAGTTAGACATCCCTTTCGAGCTCTTTGCAAACCCAGCGGGATCAGTCCTCACAGCCTTTCTCTGTAGCACATCCTGAATCTAAAGGCAGCAGCTACCTAGGCTAAAGAAGCCTAGACCTGAAAAGCTGCTTCATTCTGAACCTCAAAATCTTCATTTAGAAAAGATGCCAAACCAACATCTCACCCACCCCCCTAAAAACGCTGTCCAAGTTTTGCTATCAGTGAAACCCAAAAATCCCTCATGTGCTTTAGATAAGCTCTTTATCAGTGGATGTATCTGCAACTAGCTGACAGTCATTCAAGCCACACTTCATAGCTATCGTGCATTAAAAGAGAGGCTTTCGAGGAGTCATCTTCAAACCTGTCTGGGTCATCTCCCTAAATAGTTACAATTCACTCAGAATTCAGAAAATGGCAGACTGTAGATACCCTTTAAAATGATAGCACACAGAGGGCAGATAAGCATGAGATATTCACAAAGGTGGCGGCTCTTTTTGACATGGACACTTCACCTAGGAAACTTATTGCTACTGTTTGCTGTGGGTGCTGTGAGTTTTACATGGGTGAGGGGGGAAATCCACTGGCAGCTACTGATACATCGAAATCACATCCAGCTCTGAAAGACTCTGAGCTGGGCATAGTTGGAGGTTGGAAATGCATTAGGGATATGTTCTCTGCTTCCCCTATTCTTACAGTCTCCCTGTGCATCTGCTTATGGACACCATTCCTGCAAAAACTTCCCTTCAGAAAATACCTCCAAAAGGGAGGAGAAAAGGGAAAACAAGTGAAAAAAGGAAAGCCAGTGAGGAAAAAGGTAGAAACAGTGAACCAGAGAAGAAAAATGGTAGAGTCCGCTGCTCCAGGAGGGTATTCAAAAGGCTGGCAGAAGTCACCAAGGAGCGCTCTGCCCATCAAAGGGGAGGATGTGGGACCAGAAACAGGTTCCAGAGCTGCTGGCATCTCCCAGCTAGAGCTTCCTCCTCTTAGGGCTTGGGAGCAGACTCTGCAGGACAGGAGGAAGTCCCGCAGGCTGGCAAGACCTTGGATGGGTACAAATCAAAAGGCAAGGTGAAAAGCACAGTCTGAGCCTCAAGTAAGAGGTTCCAGCAGAGTCAGAAGCAAGGTTGCAACCTGACCTGTCCGGTGCACATGTGTGCCAGGCCCTGCTGCACGCTGCAGAGGAGGCGTGTGTCAAGGGACACTGGCCTCCCTGAATCTGTAGCCCCACAAAAGCCCTAGACTTCTGTTAGGGCTGGACCTGGGTTCAAGAGACCCCAGATGCAACGCAGTGCAGCTGCTCCTATGCTGCATTATTCAAACCTGTGCTGTCTGGGATCCGTCAAAATCACGCTCCTGTTCTCACCCACTGGCCCCTCACAGACAGCGTGGTTCAGTCTCTCGGAAGTGCTTCACACGTGTTTATTTACCCAGACTACATCATGCCCAGCACACCACCAAAGTCCAAATGAGAGTAGCAATGAACGACAGGCTCAGACAATGGGCACACCCAAGACGTTACTGTGGGAATGATAAAATGCTGTGGAATTCATTAAATATTTTTTATTATTCCAATTGCAAAATTTATCATGTAAATAATTTTCAACAAGAAAAAAAGTTGCTGGCAGCAGTGACATGTGGGGCTTGTATTAACCTCAGTAGGCTGCCCAAAATAATACACTAAGCTGAAGAAACAAGACAAAAAATGGCTTAAGTCATCTTTGCTATTTCATGGTTTATGCATTTTCTTCTACATCATTTATCAATAAGGTAAACACTGATCTTAACTTTGGAGGATGCAAGAGGATGCTAACTCAAACAATTCACAAGTATAATGCTAATATCCTCAGCAACTTTACCTTTTCCAGCACAACAGAGTCTGGGAACAAAGGGGACTTATTGACAAAGATAACTTTTGAGAGCAGGGACATATAATTGCTTTTAAAAAAAAAAAAAAAGTTCTATTTTTAAAAAGAGCAGATATACCATTTCTGTGAGAGGAAAAAAACCCCTCTCGTTCTTTGCTTTCTTTGGTTTTCGGGGTTTTTTTTTAAACACAGAATTCCAGTCCACCCTTTGCAAGAACTTACCTGTCTCAGGGTCAAGACGAATCACTCTCCCACCATCATAACAAGCTACCCAGAGTTTGCCTTCTGTATCAATGCACATCCCATCGGGAATGCTTTCCTCTTTTTCCAGTCTGTATATACTCCTACGGTTGCCTGCAGGGTAGAAAAACCACAACAAAACTAAGCGAGATAGTTGTTAAAATTTTTATCAGTCACAGCCCAGCAGAGTTATTATTCGTATTATTATTTTCAAAAGCTGTGCTGAAGTCCTGCTTCTTTCATACCAAAGAGCTCAGATGTGTCTGCTGCCCTGTTTGCTTCCTGAGACAGTTGTTTCTCAGTGTGAAAGCCTGTGGATCAATTTCTATCCACTGAAAGTATAATCCTTTTTTCTGGTGTTCTTTTCTAGTGCACCACTCATGCCCCCTACTTACAATATTAAATGAATAACTGAACAAATTAATGTTATATATTTATTCAGAAAGTTAATTTCTTGTTTTAAAAGCAGTTTGGCTCATTTCAAGTATGGGTCGCTTCCAGTCAGAGAACTGGAGACATTTCAAACAGATTGCTGGAACGTGCCAATAATCACTGTTTCAACACAAAACTGACCTTCAGATATATAAACTGAAAGTTTATATAAACACAGAGTTAGGAAAAGCATCAACTTCAAAGGCATACTGTCAACCTAAAAACAAACAACTCTTTCTGAACTTTTATCCACTGTTTTTAAAGAAAATTAAAACCAACTTTCCAACATTGTTTATTTATGCTCTGACAACTTCAATGTTTCTCCTATGTAGCAATATTTTTAATGAGTTTCCTTTGTGCTCCTGGGGATTGTCAGATTGCCCGCAGAAAGAGAGTAAGCGAGCGCGGGTGAGAGAGAGAGGAGAATCATTCTGTTTCCTAAAGAAAAATTCAATTGTAAGCCATAGCAGAAAGACATCAGGACAATATGCTACACCTCAAAAGACTTTAAATTCACAGTTTTAAAACTAAATATCAAATTGATTGGGTTCTTTTAAAGCAAAATACTGCAGTCCATGTACTCAAAAGCAAATTATTAGTTCAAGTCACTGGAATTTTTCTTTTGCCCAAGTTTGCAGAAACCCTTAAGGGGTTGTTTTGTTTCATTTTAAATAAATGAAGGAAGAAGAGTTTTGAGTTACTGCTTTCCAGTTGCTGCTTAGCTCTGTCTGCAGAATCTTCATCTAAGAGCTTATATTTAAAAAAAAAAAAAAAAAAACAGGGTGAAAAAAAAAATCTAAAGAAGCTAGCAGAGGTTTTGCACAAGACTACAAGCTTTCTGTTAAGTTTGCCGATGCTGTCAGTAATAAGAAACAGGCAGCCACAGAAATCTAGCCATACAAGAAACACTTAGCCCTTTTTACACAGGAAGATCAGATATGCATTGTGTTTAATAACAGTAGTCCATATTAATACTCAAACTCTGCCACACAATTTAAATACTTTATGGCATTACCAACAGCCTCTGACTAGTTTGACCGAGGAGCCTACGCAGGCGTAGATGAATGTTAATATGGCTTCTGTTGTTTTGTTCTAAAGAGGTTTCTGAAGAAGCGCTCCCAAAGCTCTGATCATCTCTGCATAATAACCAGAATGGAAACAAACATCACAATCTTTAAGCACAAACGATTCTTTTAGAATACAACGATTCATACCAATTTTTCCAGTTTGGAGGTCATAATCAAAGGCATCCACTGAGTAGGACAAGCTGTCAATGTAGAAGAAGGTTTTGTGATCCAGCGACCAGTCCAGCCCATTAGAAATGTCCACCTGATCAAAGTGCTTCACTACTGAGAGGTCGGAGAAGAGCGTATACAGAGAGCCCTGGCGTCTTTCCAGCACAGCAGGTCGAATCTCCTCAGCCATTGTACCTGTGTAGAGCCAAAGGGGAGAAAGCAGGTTCAGAGTGCATGGGCTCTCCTCCGGGTTTGGCGGCAGCCCCTCGCTATGATGATGACCACATTACCGATGGAGAAAGGAGCAGCGCGATGGCTTCGGAAATTTGGGGGAAAAAATGAGTTAAAGGGAAAAGAGAAAAGTAGATTTCAAAAGTGCTTGCTTTTAGCAGAAGATGACAAAACACAGCCTTTTTTTTGTTGTTGTTGAACTGTGGCAGAAATGGTGTGCAGCGTGATTTCTGTTAAATGTTTTATTCAGTCATTCAAATATTAAGAAAGGTGTGGTCAGCATTTAACTTCCCACAAATTTTTATTAAAGTCTTGAATAGCAGAGAGACGAGTCTTACTAAAGCCTTTTCAAAGCCAAATCTCACTACTGTGGCTCAAAGTTGGCATCTGAGACTGGCTCTTGAGAGGCTGGGTAAAAGCAAGTTAAGGTAAGTAAGCCAGGGGACCCAACTACAGGGCAGGTTTTAAAAACCAGGAGGACAGGATCATGGCACAGCTGAGGCTGGAGGGCACCTCTGGAGATTATTCAGGCCCAGCCCCAGCTCAGAGCAGGGTCAGCCACTGCAGGTTGCTCAGGGAAGCGTTCTGTCTTGAAGATCTCCACAGATGGAGTCTCCACAACCTTTCTGGACAACCTGCTCCACTGTTTGATCATCCTCAGTAAAAGAGTTTTCTTACATTTAAACAGAGTTTCCTGAATTTCAGTTTGTGCCCCTTGCCTCTGGTCCTGTCACTGGGCACCACTGAGTGGAGCCTGGCTCTGTCTTCTTTGCTCCTGCCCCATCAGGTACTTACACACATGGATAAGATCCCCCTGAGCCTTATCTTCTCTGGGCTGAACAGTCACATAGTTTTTAGAAATACATCTATAAATTCTGATATATGAAGAATAAACCCCACAATATCATAAATTTCTCACTGGAAAAGTATTTTCTATTGGCACTCTGCCAGCATTCAAAACAAGCATGCCAACAGGGAGGAGACAAGGCCAGTGTCTTTAAGTAGGCAGGCTCTGAATAGTGGGCCTCTTTTTTTAAAAATAGTCCTGTTAAGGTGGTGTCCGGGTGATACAATTAGATTTGTAAATGGGATTAAACTCTGCTTGAAGACAACAAAAACAAATCCCCACCATTTAGCTACGAAGGAACACTGGCTGCATCTACGACTGATCACTGCATCTCGTCACCAAAACCTCATGGAGCAGCAGAAGGAAGGAACCACTTGCAGCGTACCTGCGAAATACCTCCCTGCAGGATCCACTTTCCCATCATTGAATCGGTTGTTTGGTTTATCCTTGTCCACATGAGTAATGGTGGTTACCAGCTGCTCTTTCCATTTCAAAGCAGCAAACCTGGTTCCCAGGGTGATGACATAATCCCCAGATTTCCGGAGAGCCACAGAGCTCACGGGAGCATCTAGAAACAGGGTGAAATGGAAAAGAGGTAAGTAGTATGGAAAGACATTTCTTTTCTGCCCACTTTAGATGTGCAAGCAGTCACACCAAACTCAGGGAGACCACAACAAAACTGATGTTTAAATACATAGAAACAGATTCTTTCATGCAGAGAGGGCTTACTTAACACAAACAAAAAGTTGCTACAAAGAGAATCACCAGTTTGGGACACATAAACACAGGGAACTTGAGTATGACCACCAGTCCCAGGAGTGATAATCATTACCAGCACCTGGTTCCGCTAGGTGCTTAAAAAAAAAAAAAAGAATATAAAATGGGGGACAGATACAGACATGTATGCTTTTTACAACAGGTTACCGTGTGGGTTCCCTCCTCCCCAAGGGAAAAATTGATTGCCACAAGAGCTCTGGAGCAACTCTGTTTGTTTAGCACAGCTAAATCAGGGTAAATGAGCCCTACATGGCCGTTCAGCCATAACTCATGGAGACAGAGAGTATCTCTGCACTGGGACAGGTCACGCTGGGCAGGAGAGCCACCCCCCTGCATCACACTCTGCCATGCAGTTCAGACGTGATTCAGTAGCACCAAAAACGCACCAAGGAGTGGCAAAGCTTTCCAAGAGTTAAAGCAAAACAGAAAATTAGTAAATGCTCCATGGTTAGTTTGCACTCATTTGAGCTATTATACAGGAAAACCTCAGCTGGAAGTTATTATAAAGGAATTAGTATAAAAAGAGAGAAATGAATGTGAAGAAAACATTTCTGTAAAAGCCTACAATGAGACACAATATAAGGAATAATAACTTTAAAGAGGGCAATAAAGTCTGGGATAATATGCATGGTACTAATCACCAACTTTCTAATTTAAAAATAAAACATTTCTTGTATTTATAGCTTTGCAGAGGTATAATTAGGTAATAGTTTCACAAAGACTTATAACCACCAGCAGCCACCACTGTTGCCAAGAGGAGCTGCTCCTTTCTGGCTGCTGCGCTTGGCTTGAGGCATCCCTTCCCTCTGCAGCCGCGGCAGCAGTATCACCATGCTAGAAACCCAAATACTATTATCCCCCGAACATCTGAGATGCACCGCTGATTGCAAGCTCAGCTCTCACAACTCCTTCACCCAGAGGCGTGTGACCGCACTGCTGAGGCTGCTGGTGCTCTGGGCTCATCTACACTGGGTGAGCGGGTGCCACTTCTCCTTCCCGTGCCAGTAGAGAGGTCGGCAGATCCTCAGCCCTGCCTGGCACCTGCCAAAGGAAGTTGTTTTGCTGCTCGCCCGATTGCCAGTAACCACGCCAATAAAAGCGCTTTTCTGCCTGCACCAGCAGCAAGGGCTTTGCCGGCAGCGTGGGAACGCAACTCCCCACTCTCCCAGCGAAACACCTGGGGCCACGACCCACAGGAGCACTTCTACCTGTGCAGCCCCCCCGGGCCTCCCTCCCTCCCACCCTGGGGGGAGCAGCCCCCAGGCAGTGTCAGCCCCCCTGGCTGCCCCTACAGCCACAAGAATGGCCCCATACCTTCACCAGAAAGCACCCCAGGGGAAAGGGGTGTATCAGGCTAGCCAGAGGGACCGGCCACCCTACTGCACGCTGCGCAAACACAGCCAAAGTGAGCCTATCAGCCCTTGCACCCCGCTCAGCCCCCAGCCACCCCGGAGGCCTTTGTTAAGCAGCAGCCACAGGAATTGATTTATCTGCAACACCATTTTACGCCAAACAGAAAACTGACCATAAGATCTCACCCTCCGGGCAGGGTTATGGATGTAGTGGTGTTTTCCCTGTGGAGTTGAAAAGGGCATTTGAAGTTGTTGCTAAGTGTGGGGTTGCTGTAATTCTCTATGAGCTTCAGTAATGAGTAATTTCTCTCTGTTTCCACTTTGGACATCAACCGCTATTTTAATCACATGGCACTGCTCGGGTGTTTGGGGTTTTTTCGGTCTTTTAATCATGGTATTCCCAAAGGCACAGCTATTAACTGTAACTATTTTAGTACTAAACAGAGGAAACAGAAGGAAGTAAAAGGAAAATGTAGCTACTTCAGCTACTTACTATCCCTTCTACATCTCCAGAGAGGCCACATGTAAAAGATTACACTTTTGAGAGTAGGTCCGAGTTCGGGTGGGGGAAGGCGGGGAAGGAAGCACACTCACTCAGCTAAGGCGAGAGGAAATAAGTTTCGGAAGCAACATTTCCAAAATTAGTATCAGGCCTTCTCTCATCTTAAAACTGGTAACTACAATAATTTGAAAGGCAGATAAGCCCAGATCAATTTATTGTAAATAATGTGAGCAGCTTATGGGTGGACAGAGTAAGTGATTTTCACCAAGTGTTACTGAACATGAGAAAGTAATAAATCCAAGTACTTAAATCATTTAAGGAGCTGTCTTCAGACAGACAAATATTTACGTTGTCATATCCAGAAGTAAATCTGCAACTCTTTCTTTATGAGAGTTAGCACATCTCTTCCTTTCTGGAAGAAATACTTGAACTATGGAGACTCTACACAGTGACGCTGTTACCTTAAAAAAATATCATCTTCTTAAATCATTATGGGAAATTTTCTTCCAATCAAGAAAATGTTATGGACATTGCTCATTCAAATCAGTAACAAAACTCCCACAGATATCAACAGCAGAACTTTACCTCTGGGACAAAGAGGGAACAAAAGAGAGCTGTGAACAACTTATAGGAAAGAAAAATAGATCAAACATAACCCAACAGCACAAAATCATAAGGATCTGAGGACTAAAAATCATAAGGATCAGGACTAAGTCTGGCCGGTATGCAGTGTCTGTGCACAGCACAAGCCCCAGTGTCCTCCGTGCCCTAGGAAAGTCAGGTTTTAGGGAAAGGTCTCCGCAGGATGAGCACCCGGCTGTAAAGGGATGGAGCCGCAGAGGGATGGAGCCGCACCACCACCTGCCGGGGTCCTGCCCCTGTTCGGCAGGCACACAGCGCCAAGTCAGAACACACAACTTTTCCGTTCAGCAGAGCGTTTTTCGAGCCATTCCTTACCCACAGAGATGGCCTGCACTTGCTTGCTGACCGAGCTCCAGCGGCACACCTTTCTACCCGTGATGTCCACGCAGAGCAGAGCGCTTTCCTTCTCGTCCCAGACGGGCGACTCCCCAATCCTGTAGCCCTCGTTGGCAACGCACTCGATCTTAATGGATGACATACCTGTGGAGAAAATCGCCTGTGAGTGAACGACTCACACGTCCAACAACGTGCATTTCCCTCCCCCCCCTCCCCGAGCCTG